AAATAAAGTTAGTTTGTTCAAAACTTTAAAATTTATACTAATAGTCAAATTCATTTTTAAAACGAGTACCTGATGAGTGACATTTCTTGTGCCAGGCCGCATATGACCTTTTCTTGTATGTTTATGATGATATGTTATTGTTCCAGGCCACATATCTGGTCGAGTGCTCTTGAGGCCTCCAGCTGTCTTAGCGTCTTACGATCGTAACAAGTCATGCAGCGAGAGTGACCAAATAAGTGAAAGGATTTTTGATGTGCTTAGAAGAAATTCAAGAATCATATTCTTAACATCTAAACAGGATCATATGCATATAATAATAAGTAGCAATAATAAGGTTAGGAATTACAACCTTTGATGTGTGAATTCCTCGTTTGCTTTCTACCGCGGAGATCTTGAGCCCCAAGTGTTGCTCCTCTAATCAGTCCACAAGCATGGATTGGATCCCCACGTATGCTAGTACGGAAGAGGAATGAATGTAGCACTCTTCTTACTTTTGATGGGAGGAGGCAGAAAATAACAGTGTTTCAATTAGGGTTGTCTAACTTACTTTTATAGGTCAACCACATATAAAAGTAAAACCCTAATCACAAATAATCTACCATCAAGGCCCACTATTGGGCCTTAATAGATTTTGATCCAAACCAATACTTTATTGTGTGACCTCCTCAGATTCAGTCAAATTAGTAATGAGCTTCATAATAAACCCACATATCATAGTTGGTTTCTAGCAAAACGCTATGACCACCTAAAATGACTAAATTATTTATCTCTATAATTAATCCTAATTTATATATTTAGTAATTGCACAAACGGCTGAGGACACAACTCCTTCAATCTCCCACTTGTCCGAAGGAAAGTGTGCAATGTTAAAATACCTTAAGTCGCTTAATGTCTAATTTGATAGTATGATAACATCTCTATGTTTATCCATACTAATATTCAAATTGTTTCTTGAACTCCGAGTTTAAACTATCAAGACAAATGATTAACCACTTATTCCATTTGAGCACGGCCATGCATTTCCAGCTTTTCACTCTTCAAGAGGCCTAAGAACACAAATCCTAATCATATAAGAGGACTTATCCAATCTTGTATAACCAAAACTCCCACTTAATTTTTAGCAATCCCAACGACTGCCTTTATAACCTCCTTTTACGGCACGGCGTTTAACAATGTTAAAGATATACTAATCATCACATGAGAGTAGTGTTATACTCATGTCTAAGGAATTCACTAAATATAATAATGAAAATCTTGAAACAACTTTAAGAAATTCATGTAGGTCTGTCCTATATGTATTCTCAATACATATCCATGTAATTGAATAAACACCCTAATGTTTCTATCGCCCACGAAACTGCGCTATCAATAAACTAACAAACTAGTCTTGTAACAAGTCATTTATGTCCAGTTTAATGACTCAAGCTAGGGACAAGCAGTAATTACAAATTATGTTCACTTAATAGGGTTTCATTCACCAATTCACGCATTTGATGAACCCATTGAAAATTATAAATTACTTTGGACAATTTATTTAATACTAAACCATAATTAAATAATAGAACTTGAAATATTTATTTCATAAACATAATATCACGAAGCATAATAGTCAAAAACAACCATTTTAAAACTATTACATAATCACAACCATTCTCCAATGTGCCTAATTCTCATAGCCCTTGTATGGCTATCATGTTTAGGCTGTGATAGAGGTTTAGTCAATGGATCAGCAATGTTCGCATCTGTATGTACTTTGCAGATCCTGACATCTTTCATGTCTACAATCTCGCAAATAAGGTGATATTTTCTCATTACATGTTTGGACTTTTCATTTTATCTTAGTTCTTTTGCTTATGCAATAGCCCCATTGTTATCACAATACAACTCAATTCCCTCCAGAGCACTAGGCACAATGCCTAAATTCCGTCAAGAACTTCTTTATCCAAACAGCTTCTTTAGCTGCTTCAGCTGCTGCTAAATATTCTGATTCCGTTGTAGAGTCTACTATTGTGCTTTGTTTGGAACTCTTCCAGCTTACTGCTCCTCCATTCAGACAAAATATTTACCCTGATTGTGAGCGGTAATCATCTCTGTCGGTTTGGAAGCTCACATCAGTATAACCTTTAAAAACTAACTCATTTTCACCTCCATATACTAGAAAGTCATCCCTAGTCCATCTTAAGTACTTTAGGATGTTCTTAGCAGCATTCCAGTGCGTCATGCCTGGATTTGATTGGAATCTGCTACACATGCTCAAAGCATACGAGACATTTGAGCGAGTACAGACCATAGCATACATGATGGATCCTATGGGCGAAGCATAAGGAACCGAACTCATCTGTTTTAGTTCATCAGAGTTAGACGGACTCTGAGTCTTACTAAGTACGATGCCATGTCGCATAGGTAGAAAACCTCTCTTAGAGTTTTCCATTCTAAACCTGCTTAGAACCTTATCAATATAAGTACCTTGGCTTAGACCTAGCATCCTTTTGGACCTATCCCTATGGATTTTGATCCCTAAAATGTACTCTGCATCCCTAGGTCTTTCATAGAAAAACACTTTCCAGGCCAAACCTCTACAGATTGTAGCATAGGAACATTGTTTCCAATGAGAAGTATGTCATCCACATACAAGACCAAAAAGACTACACTGCTCCCACTAAATTTCTTATACACACAGGCTTCTTCTTCATTTCTGAGAAAACAAACTGTTTGATGGCCTCATCAAATCAAAGATTCCAACTTCGAGATGCTTGCTTCAATCCATAAATGGATTTTTGAAGCTTGCATACCTTACTAGGACAGGATCGACAAAACCCTCTGGTTGTGTCATGTACACATCCTCTTGCAAATAACCATTCAAAAAGGCGGTTTTTACATCCATTTGCCAAATCTCATAATCATAATGAGTTGCAATGGCTAAGAGTATCCGGACAGATTTAAGCATGGCTACTGGCGAAAAAGTTTCATCATAGTCAATACCATGAATCTGCTTGAATCCTTTTGCAACTAGTCTTGCTTTATGAACAATTAAGTTCCCATCCTTGTCTGTTTTCAACTTAAAAACCCATTGCATCCTATAGGCGTTACCCCATTCAGAAAATCAACCAAATTCCAAAGTTCATTTTCAGACATGGATTCCATCTCGGATTTCATGGCTTCATGCCATTTTTCGGAGTCTTGACTCATCATAGCTTGCTTATAGGTGGTAGGCTCTTCGCATTCTAAGAGTAAAAGCTCTGAGCTCTCCGTCATCAAGAAATCAACGTATTTCCTAGACGGAGCTCCTGGCCTATCAGACCTACGTGGAGCTACAACAACAGAAGAATCACTTACAACTGTTTGTGAATGTTCGCATGAATCAGATTCAAGTGGGACGGTAGGAGTTTCATGCGTTGAATGCGTCATCTCCTAAACATGACTTTCGTCTTGTCGGGCCGTCTGTAACATGGTGTGAACCACGTCCATTTGTTGCTCATCTCTAATTTCTTCAAGAGTTATATTTCTCCCACTTAGCTTTTTGGAAACAAATTCTTTTACCAAAATGACACCATTTTGAGCAACAAACACTTTTTGCTCTGTTTGGTTGTAGAAATAGTAGCCCCTTGTTTCTTTTGGATAACCCACAAAGAAACATTTATCGGATTTAGGTGCAAGCTTATCAGATTGTAAACATTTTACATAAGCTTCACAACCCCAAATCTTAAGAAAAGACAACTTTGAGACTTTCCTAGTCCACATCTCATATGGTGTCTTCTCCATAGCTTTTGATGGATATCTATTTAGTATAAAAGCAGTAGTTTCGAGAGCATATCCCCAGAAAGATATCGGAAGATCAGCAAAACTCATCATGGAGCGTACCATATCTAATAGAGTACGATTCCTCCTTTCAGATACACCATTCAATTGTGGTGTGCCTTGAGGAGTTAGTTCGGAAACTATTCCGCAACCCTTAAGATGATTATCAAACTCTTGACTCAAGTATTCACCACGACGATCAGATCGTAATGCCTTAACTTTCTTGCCAAGTTGATTTTCAACCTCATTCTGAAATTGTCTGAACTTTTCAAACGCTTCTGACTTCTGCCTCATCAAGTAAACATAACCATATCTACTTAAATTGTCGGTAAAAGTAATGAAGTAACTGTAGCCACCTCTAGCATTAGTATTCATTGGTCCACATACATCTGTATGTATTAGGCCTAATAGCTCACCAACTCTTTCTCCTTTTCCTGTAAAAGGTGATTTTGTCATCTTACCAATCAAACATGGTTCGCATACATCAAATAATTCATAATCAAATGATGTGAGAAGTCCATCTGTATGGAGCTTTTTAACTCGTGTTGGACCAATATGTCCTAGACGACAATGCCAGAGATATGTGGGATTTAAATCATTTGATTTTTGCCTTTTAGTGTTTATGTTATAGACATGGTTGTCTAAATCCAGTATGTATAAACAATTAATTAATTTTTCAGTGGCATAAAACATCTCATTTAAATAAACAAAACAACTATTATTCTTTATTATAAATGAAAAACCTTCATAATCCAAACATGAAACTGAAATGATGTTTTTGGTTATTGCTGGAAAATAATAAAAATTATTTGGTTCTAAAATTAAAACAAAAGGGAGAGATAGACTATAAGATCCAATAGCTAAAGCAGCAATCCTAGCTCCATTGCCAACTCGCAGATCTACCTCTCCTTTTTCCAATTTCCTAGTTCTTTTTAGTTCCTGCACATCCGATATTATGTGACAACCACATCCGGTATCTAATACCCAAGATGAAAGACTAGCTAAATTAACTTCTATAACATAAATACCTGAAGAAGATGCAACACAACCATTCTTCTTATCTTCCAAGTATTTAGGGCAGTTGCGCTTCCAATGCCCAATCGCATTGCATTAGAAGCACGTGTGTTCAGTAGTAACCTTTTGCTTCTTAGATGAGGGTTCTGGCTTAGTTTTGGAAACTTTTTTCTCTTTTCCTTTGCCAACTACCTCCTTCTTCTTTCCACCCCATTTCTTCTTAAAACTTTCCCTTTGTTAACCATAAGAACATCCTTCTTTGGTTCAACAACTCTAATGTCCCGTTCAGCTGTTTTAAGCATCCCATGCAATTCATGTAAAGTCTTCTTCACACTAGTCATGTAGTAGTGAAGACGGAATTCTTTGTATCCATCATGAAGAGAGCAAAGTACAATATCATTTGCGAACTCTTCGCCATAATTGACTCCATGTCGTCTTAAATTTTCAAAAAGACCGATCATTTTGAACATGTGATCATGAAGCTTTTGCCCAGGCAAGAGTTTGGTATCAAGCAACTCTTTTGTTGTTATATACCTCTCTTGACTTGCCAATTCTTGAAACATAGATCTCAAGTTTTGGATGATGGAATAAGCATCCATAGTCTTAAACCACTTTTGAAGACTTGGTTCCATCGTTGCCAACATGAGACAAGTAATTGTCACAGACCTTTCCCGAATACATTTCTCATTAGCTTTTTGAGCTTGTGTTGCATTTTCAGCCAGAACTGGGATTTCGGTATTAAGGACATCCTCCATTTCTTCACTTTTGAGAACAATTCTCAAGTTTCTTTCCCAATCGAGGAAGTTGTTGTTGTTCAACTTATCCTTCTCAAGGATTGGAAGCAAATTAAACGAATCATTGTTACGAGACATGGTATCTACATATCAGGAAGAATACAAGAATTAATATTATGTTTTTAATAAATAGCTAAAATTCAAAATTATAAGATATTACTCATTATTTTATTTAAAAGTGTCCCTATGTAAAATAATGATTCCCAGATCCTTTCACAAGTAATTTAAGCGGACTTGGGCCCTGCCCTCAAGTTAAATGATCCAGGTAAGTAACATCTTTACTAATTATAACTATTATAATTCTTGGTCGATAAGTGTCATCTTATGTTTTAAACTTATCTCATTGCCTCTAAGTCCAAAACTTTGCTTTTTGATAACTTAGTTGAGCGTAACCAAAACAACATGTAATTCCCTTCATAAAATTACCCGTACTATCCTATGACTTAAAATGATGCTTTGCTTGGGCAAACCCGCCACTTAATTCACAAGGCCTCATAGGTGTTGAATTAGAAAGACAATTAGCTCAATATTCTTTTAGGGACTTAAGTTATATATTGTTGGTTATTTAAAGGTGAACTCATTAACAAACAAGCAACATTCATAAACTTAAAGAAGACATTTTAAAAACATAAATAAATTGCAATAAAATTAAATGTGATCTAGTATGGCCCTTAACCCTTTAAAATCTAATTTTCTTGGGCCTTCTTCTTTGATTCATCTTGGATGACCATCCTCAATTCATCTGGATTTCATAGCAAGCTCGAATCTCCATTCTTGATTCTCCAATCATAACTTACTTAAAACGAAAATTTAAATAAACTATTTAAAATTACAAAAAATACATAACGATACGCAGATCATATTTAAGATTACAAAAATACGTAATGATACGCAGATCGTATTTTCTATCTTAATTTGGGTCATACTAGTCACATCATGCAATTCATAATATCAAATATATATTAAACATGCAATCAACTTATTTTAGTAAACAAGATTATATCAATTAACATTCAATATAAACATTTTACTAAAATAACATACAATATTGATTAACATAATCAAACTCCCTTGTTTCAAATTCAATTAGAACTTATATATGGAATTAATCGTTATTAATATATAATTTGCATAATTGGAATAATAACTCAAAATTGGAATTTTGCTCAAAATTATCTAAATAACTTAAACAAATTTCCTATTTTATCTCAAATTCAAAATCAAAGATAAAATAAAATTTAATAATATCTTTTAAATTAAAAACTGATTTTTAAAATTAAAAGATAATTCCTTCTTTTAAAAATATATACTTTTTTTGTTTAAATTTTTTATTTTTTTTTAATAATACATGCTGCCACGTCAGCCAAAGAAAATTCCAGCCAACGCAGCAGCAAGTGGATAAACAACTAGGAACAAACTTCCAGCCACCAACCTCGATCGCCTGAAAACGCCTGAGCCACCGCAACCAGCCAACGCCCACTGAATGTCGCGCAACCCTTGCATGCGCAGCCTGAACGCAACCACGCCACGGTGTCGCGACGAAAAAGAAAGACGACTCCCAAAATTCGAACAATTTCGAATCAAAATAAGGATTTTCTAGCGGTTTGATGTTCGATTTTAATCCCAAAACAAAATTTTGGTATCAATTTTCAATCTTATTGAATTAATTTGATGATTTTCATTCAAAATCAAATTGGGGAAAAAGTTAGGGTTTTAAAATATATTTGAATCAAACTCTTTGATTTCAAAACGAAAATAACAATTATTTACATGATTTTGCAATTGAAATCTAAAGAAAACAAAGCCCTCAATCAATTTCGACACAACTTGTCAAATTGAAGGTCAAAATTTTGGATTTTCTTTCCCCTTGTTTGAAAGAAAACGTTATTCCCCTTTTTTTATTTTATAATGTTAATTAAACGAATCTAATTAAGTATCAAATACTTAATTCCAATCAATTAAAACAACTTTTAATTATGCAAATTATTCCATATATCAAATCCCTCTCTGAATTGAATTAAAACAACAAAATTCGCATCAAAATAATATGAACAAATTAACATATGCATTTGGCTAACTGATACCACTGAAAGGATTTTAGATGTGCTTAGCGGAATTTCAAGAATCATATTCCTAACATCTAAACGGGATCATATGCATATAATAATATGTATCAATAATAAGGTTAGGAATTACAACCTTTGATGCGTAAATTCCTCGTTTGCTTTCTACCACGGAGATCTTGAGCCCCAGCTGTTGCTCCTCTAATCAGTCCACAAGCACGGATTGGATCCCCACGTATGCTAGTACCGAAGAGGAATGAATGTAGCACTCTTCTTATTTTTGATGGGAGGAGGCAGAAAATAACAATGTTTCAATTAGGGTTGTCTAACTTACTTTTATAGGTCAACCACATATAAAAGTAAAACCCTAATCACAAATAATCTGCCATCAAGGCCCCCTATTGGGCCTTAATAGATTTTATCCAAACCAATACTTTATTGTGTGACCTCCTAGGATTCAGTCAAATTAGTAATGGGCTTCATAATAAACCCACAGATCATAGTTGGTTTCTAGCAAAACGCTATGACCACCTAAAATGACTAAATTATTTATCTCCATAATTAATCCTAATTTATATATTTAGTAATTGCACAAACGACTGAGGACACAACTCCTTCAATAAGGTGCCAAACCAAAGCGAAAACTAGTCCAAACAATGAAGCTAAGCTCAACTCCACAAAGCCAGGTGATGCAGCAAGCAAAGTACAGCTAAAACAGTACTAAGAAAATATATTCTTAAAAGAAGGGTAGTCAGAATCCTAGGAAGGATTAAGGTGCAAAAAGGAAATGTTGGTGTTGTAGTAAATGCTGGATTACTAAATATGAATCAGGGACAACACCCAAGAGCTAATCAAGTTAATCTCAGTCCTTCTAAGTTGAACAGCTGAGATCGATCCTGCCAAATCAAGGATCTGCAACAATTCATGTGATGAATTACAATGTAGCTCTTCCTTAGGCTATGCTCTTATTTATCAAGTCCCAACATCACTTACATTTCTTACAATACTACCAACGAGAAGTTGGATAGTTACCAAGTTCAGGCAGCAAAATTTAATTCCTTCGATATTTTCAGTGATGAAAACCCTCCCTGAAATATTTTTGTGCACTAACAATTCTATTGTATTGTAACTGATATCTCTAAAGCACCAGTTTTTGATTGGGTTTTGTAGGGCATGTATATCTTCTGCTAGCTATCTGTTAAGACATGAATAAATAAAGGAACGTAAATGTAAAAGTGAGAAACTAGAATTTGTAGGACAAATATGTTGAGCCATTTTTGTCAGTATATAGATCGGATGAATAATTTAATTGAAATTCATCCTAAATGGCTGAATTCTACTACCTACAAGCAAGCAACATGGATCAATTAGAAGTTGGGATCCAAATTTCAATTAGTAATTCAACAGAATATTCTACGTTTGGGAGAGAACTTCCATGGCAAGAATTTCTGAATCATTAATTTTCGAAAGGCTACCAACTATAACTACGAATTTTTTTTGGCTAAACTGCACTAAAAGTTAACTTAATCATCCTGATCACTGGATCAAAGCTTATTAGAAAAACTTGTACTAGTCCCTTTGTAAACATGTATGATACACTTCATATGCATCAAAAATTTGAAACGTTCAAAAAATGAAACAGGTTGTACATGAGAGTTTGCTCTAAACATAATCTAGCATCAATTTCATCAAAATAGTTCATCAAAACCACATTTTTAAGAAGCTCAATTATTCCAGTTAAAGACTACCATGACCACATATGAATGCAAATATCTTCCAAAATGCTGCAAAGAAGTGAAAATCGAATATTTACAAAGCTGATCCTTCACAAATCATAAGAGAAAACTTACCTACATTATCATCATTCATCATCACCATTACACATGGACATGAAAATTGTTCTGGTCATGGACCCAGGAAAAGGGAGAAAGACAAAATTCAGTCTTCTATGGTTCCAGCTCTCCTAAACAAAATTTCCTCCAAAACTAGGAGGGCTAATGAATCATTCAAAATTTATATATACAGTTATAGGATGAAACTCGAACATGAAACTCACAGACATATTGAAGCTTTTAAAGTGCGTGGATTTTGTCCTAGGATGATCACAATTACAGTCACATCATCATGATATTTTCTCCTCCTTCCTGGTGGAATATTTAAGAGCTCTTCCATGCTGAATCCTGGTGGGAGACCACAAATAAAAACATTAGATAACAGTAAAGAGCCTCTAATATAGGGTTTAAAAAAGTTGTAATTATAATAAACTAACAAATATCATTAGATAAATTAATTAGTTACTGAAAAACATGAACTTCAGTTGTTGACTTATGATGCAAAAGAAATGAATGTATGCTCACACCGAAGTTAACGTGTGACAATTTCTTTAAATGATACTCTATTTTTTAAAGTGTTACCGTTTGATTGACACATAGTATTAAGTAGTTTAATTGAGTATAATACAATAAGATGTAAGTGATATAGTTCTAATATCAAACAATTGTAAGAAAAGATAATGGTGCTAATAAATTATTGTAAAGTAAGCTATGTGAGATGAGAGGAAATTATACATTAAAAAAAAAACTCAATATGAGTGGATCTGTAATATGAGTGGGGATCACGAGAGAAGAGAGATATAATATTAAAATCTAGTCGTTTGCCAAAAAAAAAAAAAAGTGTAACACTTAATAAAAAAAACATATATATAAAAAAAGGTGTTGATAAACGCAAGTGTAACACTTAAACAAACATGGAGAGAGTATATGTTTCAAGTTTTTTTTTTCAATAAGACATTGAGCTTATCAGAGTTTGACTAGCACAGATTAGCTGTATCACAAAGGATAAGAGAGTGACAGTATTTTGTCAATATTTCATGATTTAAATCAAGTTTATGAAACAGTGTCAAACAGATACAGGGGACTCATTAGATGTAGTGCCATGGTATTAGGGACAAAGCTATTTGCTAGTTTAATCTACCAAGCAGTCCAAACCAGAGTAGGTGGATCTTATTATAAACTAAGTCTTATACATTCAAATTAGAATTACAGTATGCATTTTACGGCAAATTTTCCTAATTTATCTACAACAGTATTAATATCACAATATGAGAATTCAATATTTTAATATTAAAAAAAGAAAAAAAAAAAAAAAAAAGTAGATAGAAGAATCATATTTATCTGCACGAAAGCATACACAACTGCAAATGAGACAACTCAATGAATGGTACCATCTTGTTATATGTAAGAAATACAGTTACATGACAAGAAAACATACCTGCACAATCTGCAGCTCTAATGACAAGTTGCTCCAGTAGAAACTTTGCTGGATCACCCGAAGGATTTTTCAATATGAACAAATGGACCAGTCTAACGACCTCTTCATTGGTAAAGAAGTCAAACAAACCATCACTGCCAAGTACAACAAAGCGATCAGATCTTGAGATTCTGTGAACGTTGATTGAAGGACTTGTGGAGACATAAGGAGGACTTATCAAATTTCGAACTCTGAGAATTCCCATCAATGCATCATTCAATACTTTCTGCAAACACCCACAACACCATTTTATAGAAGCTAATTTACACAAAAGAGGGGGAAATCGTTGTGCCAATGCCACTTTAAAATATAATCTCGTATTTATTTGTGTTGATAAGTTAACCTAATTAGTATTTGTGGTCACTTAATTCTCACATGAGACTGTAGTTAAAAGAACACAGGATTGATTGTTACTTGTATAGAACTAATTTGGCACATAAAATTGTTATAAGAAAATAATAATAAATACATAAATAAAATGACAAACATAATTCAGACGACTTTTCAAGTTTCAGCTCTCCAATAAAGACCTGAAACAGATAGAGTACTCCATATCTCTACAGAAAAAGGCTAAATGGAAACCATAATTTATATTAAATCTAACTAAAACTTTCTCTAAGCCCTTTGCATCACTATAAAGTTAATGACTAAATTAGGATTAGCAGCATGGCACATTGAACAGTAAGTCAGAAACTACTTCAGTATTGCAATAAATAATATTTGTATACCCTAAACTAAGTCATTACTGACCTTCTTCAAGTACCCAACACCAAATGCACGAGTTACCTTCAACTTTCCTTTCACTTTCCCTGCAGTAATTGTTGAAGGATCATCACGATGATTTGATACAAGTTTAGATCTCTCAACTTCATTGTCAGTAGTATGAATATCTGTAAGTTGGATTGCTTTTAAAGTTATGGTCTCTCCAACATCACAACCACTGCTCTGTGTCGCAACAACAACTCTACTATCACCTAAATTCATTGTATACAAATCTTTCCCAACAAGCAGTGCAACCAAAACACAAGATCCAACAGAAACGAGATCAGGGCGGTCTTCCATATCTTGCTCAACCATTGACAGGAAGTCAATCTCAGCTTGACTAAGAGCGCGTTGGAGACACTCTAGCACCCCTTTTTTAAAAATATCTGATGATGTGTCTATCTCGGTACTAAAAAAGTGACTTGAAGCATCAAAGTTGACATCCTTTCTACCACCTATTCTTAATATCTGTTTCCCAAATCTAGAAATATTGTCATCATCTAGCGCATTCTGGAACGAATCATCTGAAGCAAAACAATTAGATACTTCAGCTATATCATCTTTATTATCCCAATTAAATAAGTTGAAGTTCATTAGAAAAGTATCATATAATGTCCCAGCTAGGAAATCAGCTGCATCTCTTCCATTGAACCCATCATAAACCCCACAAAAGAGCCATCCATCTTCTTCAGAGCAAACAGCAATAACCCTATCTTCACCTGCAGCTCCACCAGCAACTTGCACTTCCACAGCGTTGAGAAAGCCTTCTTTTGGGGACGGAGCACTCATGAACTTAAGATATGAGTCACTTTCAGGCGATTCTCCTAGAGAAGATGGACTAACACTCAAATTTGACAAAGTACTCTGGAGAGAAGATGACAATACATCCACTTTTGAAGAAAGTGACGGGGAAGATGGAATCCTGCGGAATGAATTAGGTGAGTCCCAACTCGACAGTATCTCTGAGCCTATTATGCCATTGCAGATGTTTGTGTTTGCTAATGTAGTGTTAGCACTTAATGCAGCACCAGAAAGACAGGAGAAAGATCTGCTAATTCTTCTAAGTCGAGCCTTAGGGACGATTTCATATCCATCAGAATCTTCACAGATGGCCTTCTTTCGATCACACTGATAACCAAAACTCACTTTAATTTCCCCATCAGCAGAACTAACAGGTTCACCAAACATTGCACCTGTGGACGAACAGCAATGATACACAGTAACTTTTCTTTGAAAAATATAATCTAAGTTGAAATAACACTTATAGTCATCATGCATTCATGTGACAGAAAATCAGCAATTTTAGCAGTGTACCTACACAACATCAACCAAAAATATAGTGAAATCAATATGTGAAGCAAGCATACTGTATATGAGAAAACTTATGAACAATGCTACACAATGTCTATAATGCTTCATTTATCTGTTCACTAACCCTTTATCCCTAGTTACAAGCCAACTTGATTTCCCAAAGTGATCCTCACATGGCTCACAATATACTTATTTTGCTAGATAACTTGTTGACAATATAACCAATCCGAAAGGTACAATAAAACAAGAGAGAGGAATTATCATTTATAAGTATAAATAAGATAATCTTAATCAATATAATACATTTATAACATAATAAACTCCGCAATAAATAAATAAAAGGAGAGATTTTAGATAGAAATCAAATCAGCCACAGTAATCAAGTAATTTGACTTTAAACAAAACTAACAGTTACATATCAAATTGCAAATACTTGCACCTTGCCGGGTGATACATAGCTTACGCTCACTTCCTTGAAAAACCATCTTATTGAACTATACAAGTCATCCTTCTTTTCTGCATCGAGTGCAAGAAATCGAGTAAATATACTACTCCGGGTACCATTTACCCACTTCATTGGTTTTAGTGTAATAGAAACGTTACATCTATTGTGAAACGGAGCTAATATAACACAAACCTCAAAATAATATCAACTTATTTGAGATACATCTCATAACTTCAATGTGCAAGCTTCAGAAAAAAAGGCTTGTTTTAGCTTCAATACCTATCTCATCTTAATCAACAGGAATCTCATTCCCTTTCATCTAATAAAACTTCTGACCTCATGCCTAGTTCCCAAAAACTAATTATTTCAATCAATGTAATCAGATCAACATAATTACTTCAATGGGTCAACGTATCCTTCAAATATGTCATTAACTCTTCATTTTACAATTTCAATTTGACAAAATTGTGTCATACCATCTAAAAGTTGATCAATTTCGCTTACGAAATTTTTTTTATTAATCAATATGCATTAAACCCATAATCAATATCCTTAATTTGTAACCAGTGATCAGATTAATATAGAACATTAGAAATTAACTATAATCCAGATATCAAATACAGTAAATTAAACCAAATAATAATGAAATCATACATAATTACTTCAATGGGTCAACGAGTCCTTCAAATATGTCATGAACTCTTCCTTTTACAATTTTACTTCGACAAAATTGTGTCATACAATCTAAAAGTTGATCAATTTTGCTTACGAAAAATATTCATTAATCAATATGCAATATACCCATCATCTATATCCTTAATTTGTACCCAGTGATCAGATTAACATCGAAAATTAGAAATTAACAAGAATCCAGATATCAAATGCATTATATTAAAAAAAACAGTAATGAAATCATACAAAATTCGGAAGATTCTACCTGATATATGATTGATTATGAAGACCCAAAAAAGAAAAACCCAGATTGCAAAACCAGATATTTAATAATTGAATTACAATTGTGAGTCAAAAGGAAAAGATAAATGAGTGGAACAGAACGGAAGAGAGTGACACAAAAAGATAAGCAAAAGGTCAGAAGCGAGAAGTGCAGAATCCTGGGAGACCAACATAAATATCGTTCATTGATTAAAAAAAAAAAAAAAAAAAAAAAAAAAAAAAAATCGTTCATCTAATTATCTTTTGCGGTTGTATTCTATTATTTGTTCCATTTCATTTAACGGAAAATTTAAACAATATACCACTCATATCATATTTTTCATATTCTCTCCTTTTACACTTATACCCACTTTTAATATTTTACAATTTTTTATTCTTCAACCAATCTCACTTTTATCATAAAATAATGGAAATTTTGTTAAATAAATCCTTTTAAATGCCTCATTTTGCAAGAAAAAACCTTTTAAACGGATCTTTGTTAAAAAAAACCACCACAATGGCTTTTTTGTTTAATGAAACATCACCCCTCGTTTCAAGCATTGACTCAAGGATTCAGGCGTTGACTCCGTATTTTCCCTACTTGCAGCCTATTGTTGTGTAATTTTCCCTCCTTTTTTTGGCTCCCTAATTTTCCCTCTATAAATAATCTAGGGCAAGCCTCCTCAAATCAATTGAATGAAAAATTAGGGCAAACCTCCCTAAATCAAATCAATTGAAAGGTAAATTAGGGCTCTTAATCTATTTCTTCCACAATTGTAGTGCTCACTTCACCATTGTAGTGCTTTCTCCAGCATTCTTCTCTCTTATCTAATAGTTCTCTTCTTGTACGTTCTTCTCTCTTCCCTGATAGTGCTCTTCTTGTTGCTAATTTTGCAGGTACAATGGTAAATTGCGGATGTGGCTTTCCATGTGCAAAGAGAACTTCCTGGACTCATGAAAATCCAGGAAGAAGGTTCGTGGCAAATTCTACAACCACGAAACTGGAGAACAAGGTTGTAACACATTCAATTGGCTGGATGAGGATCAAATTGATTGGCAGCGTGATGTGCTTAATGTCCTGGTTGCTGAGAGGCACAAGCGGGAAATTGAGTTAACCATTGTGAAAGCTAGGAATGCTTGCTTAGAAGATCACAACAAACTTGAAAGGGGGATGCAAAGAGGTTCTGTACTAGAGATAGAGCAGGGGGGTTTAAGCATGTTGGCATTTATGTTGTTTTTGTGATTGTCAGTGTTATTGTCTATGAAAATGTTTGGGTAGATTGCTAGGTTTATTGGGTATTTTGGTAAGTAGATTGTTTAAGTGGTGTAATTTGGTCCTTTTTTTAATTTGGTTAGTAAATTGCTAAGTATGAGGGGGGTTTAAGCTAAGTATAATGCTAAGTATGTTATGTATTTTGGACCCTTTTTATGAAATAAAAATGCAATTTAATTTGGTATCTATTCTTTTTTTCCATGTTGTTTATTCACTGCACTTTTTGATTGAATAATATTCTCACAAAAGCAACAATAACATGCACATAATTTCAAAGAAATTGAAGCAATGAAATTGGTGAAAACATAAATACCATAACATATGTTACTTAAAAAACAAGTACACCTGTTGTTTTCAAAAGATTAGTTGTCAGAAGCAACACTCAATACATACATACATTGTTCTTAAGAAGATCATGACATCAGAAGTGTGATTCAATTGTTCCAAAAAAACATGACATATATTCTGCCATCATTCAGTCAGCTTGTTGGGTTCCATGTTGGGGTGCAGATAGTGAGATGGACTGTTGTGAAAATTGGGCAGATTGTTTGAGTTGCTGTGATGATGTTGCTTTTGTTTCTTCCCCTGCTGCTGCACCTTTTTAAGTCTTCTAGGCTTCCTCTTTGGCTTATCAGTAGGTGGAGTTGCACACTTATTCTTGTAATGCCCCAACCAACCACAATTAGAGCACTTGTTCTGCTGCTTTGACCTCTTCCCATTCTTCCTCTCTTGACCTTCTCCAGCTTCCTTACTAGAAGGCCTCCCTAGTAATTTTCTATGTGCAGGTGGCAAAGGCTTAGGATATAGAGTGACTTCCCATTGTTGATGACCAGGAATCGCTTTAAAAGATGGAGCATATGCCTTGGTGTATGTTTCAACATGATAAGCAGGGGGGATGAAGGGCTCAATGGCCAGTCTTCTCATTTGTATGCAGGCAAGAGCATGCTAACAGGGTATTCCTGTTTGGGGTAAAAAATACCCCAGACATGTGGCCCAATGGCCATGTGACACGTGGCACCCATCCATTGGTCAGCAGGGCTCCAATCCTCTGCTGACACGTGTCCAGTAAACCCTAAATGGGGAACCAAAACTCCCCTACTATAAATAGTGGAAGGACCCTCATTAATGGGATATTCATAAATACACACACCAATCCCGAGCAATATTAATTGCAGTATTTTCCCATTACGCGAGAAGTAATTTCACTATTTACGCACACTTTTCCTCCTATACGTTACTGACTTGATTGTCGGAGGCGGAGCTCCAATCAACCGGAGACTTCGTGGTTTTGCAGGTACAAGCGGTGAAGGGCATTCTCGGAATTGTAACTCTCCCGTAGGACACATCAAAAAACCCCGAAACATTTGGCGCCGTCTGTGGGGAGAGTACTTCTGAGATTACTACTAACCCTGTACCACCGGATCAGGACAAGCGGCCGTTGGTCGAGCCTGAGGTCCAGACGGACCATGAAAGTGGTGACGACTATGAAGTCGACACCTATGTGGCCCCAGACGGGTCCTTCAGAACAAAACGCACCCGTTCTAGAGACAAGAAGGAACGGGATAACAACCAAGCTGCTTCAGGCAACCCAGCCGGAAACCCGGTTGGAGCTGCCCAGGCGGCAGAAGGCTCTGCTCCCGTCACCAGGAACGAACTCATGACCTTCATGAATAGTTTCAAGGGCGAGATCAAGAACCTTATTCTGCCAGCTACTCCCAAAAAGAGTCAGCCGGCCAAGAAGCCTTCCTCTGGGAAGAAGATGATCAAAGATCGGGTCCCTACCCCTCACCCAAAGCCAAAGGAGGGGGAGGGCCTCAAGTTCGATCCAAACAGGCTCCGCTTCCCTCAAGCGGAACTCAGAAAACCCATCCGACACTTACAGCCAGATGGTTCCAAGAAGACTTTCTCTGATGCCCGGATGTTCCTCTAGGAAAAGAGAAGTCAAGTGTCTGCGTCGGCCTCAACGTCGACCTTCCCAGACAGTTTTCGTGACACCTCTAACAGGCGTACGGGAATAAGCCTAGGGAGTCAGACGGGCGAGCCCTCCGCCCGGTTTGGACCCAAAGTGATCCAGCCTGGTCTATTTGGTTCGCCAAATGGACTGGGTGGATCCCCTTTCACCCAGCCGGGTCTCTTTGGTGGGCATGTGAAGCAGTCGTACCAGCCCATGGACTGGCAGCTGCGCCTGTTAAATTTGGGAGAACAGTCAACAGCGTTCTCCCCCGAGATAACACAGGCGGCACAGCCGGCTAAGGTTAAGAACGTGTTGGTAGGGGCCTATGATGGTACCTCCAACCCAGAAGACCACCTAATGGCCTACTCTAACCTCATGTACCTACAGGGGTTGGACGATGTCGTCTGGTGCCGATGCTTCCCGGCTACCCTGAAGGGCATTGCCCAACGGTGGTTTGGCAATCTACCAGCCGGCTGCATCAACAACTTCAGAACTTTGGCGTACTTATTTACGTCAAATTTTTCAATGAATATCCCTGCCAAAAAGACTAGCCTTGACCTAGGGGCAATACAGCAGGGTGACAGAGAAGGGCTCCGGTCCTACATCAGACGGTTCAATCTGATGAGAAATCAGATTCAAGGACTGCCTGACGAAGTTGCTTCCACAGACTTCTTTAAGGGTCTGAAGGATGGGTCGACCTTTAAGTTCGACCTCGTCCGGAAAAGGGTAGCCACCCTTCAACAGTCGTTAATGGAAGCTGAAGCCTATATACAGGCGACGGAGCTTTGCGCTGTAAAGCAGCCATCGGATTCCAAAAAATCCGACAGAAAAGATAGCCGGCAATGGCAACAGCCGGCGAAAAAGGAAGAAAAGAAGAGAAAAGAGGTCTGGGCGGCAGACCGACCTAGTCAGCCGACTCAGAAGCTCAGACGGAAATCTGAACCGTACGTTCCCAAGTACGAGTTCACGAAGGACTACTCCTCCATCCTCATGGAGATAAAAGACCGGATGTCTCTCGAGAAACCGGCTGCGATGAAAAGTCCCGTAAGCAACCGGGACAAGAGCAAATACTGCCAGTACCATGAGGATGTCGTCCACGACACTAATGGTTGCTATAGCCTCAGGCGGCTATTAGACCGTCTGGCTGATGAGGGGGCTCTGAAGTCCTATCTGCCCAAAGCCAAGAGTAACACCCAGGCAAAGAAGGGGCAGACGGCAAAACCTGTGCTCACCAACTCTGAGACGGATGAAGAAACTATCTTCACCATAGCAGGCGGTTTTGTCGGAGGGGGCCCCACCATTAGGGGCACCAAAGATAACATTAGGAAGCTGGTCAGCTTAGTGGATAAGGGTCAGGCGTCGAAAGACACCTTTCCTGAGGTCCTTATTTATGAAAAGGACCGAGGCAAGGTCAGGCGGCCTCACGATGATCCCATAGTCACCGAATGTAAAGTTGCCAATCAGAGGGTTGGTCGGATCCTAATAGATAGCGGGAGCTCGTCTAACCTGATCAGCTATCAGTGCTTGACCAAGCTCAAGTACAAATCCCATAACATGCACCAGGCGCCTCACCCACTAGTTGGTTTTGGGGGAGGAGTAGTGCATCCGGTAGGAAGCATAGATCTTCCCATCTGGCTGGGTGAAAAGGGGGAAGGACGCCACATGGGAGGAATTGGCCGCCTACAACATGATCTTTGGCCGTCCGACCCTCAACGAATCCAAGGCTGTCATCGTCCCCTCGCTCATGCTCGTTAAATTTGAAAAGGATGATGGTACAATCGGTTCCCTAAAAGGGGACCAGAGGACGGCTAGGGAGTGCTATCTCTCTGACGTCAAACCGACTATGGGGGCAGCCAGTGACGGTAAGCCCGTATACATTGATAACTGCGATATAGCAGTCCCGGCTCCAAGGGCAGCCGGTAGGAAAAGAAAGGCGAACCAAATGGAATCCGTCAAACAAGAAAAATAGCAATCACTAGCCGGGGAAAGGTCAGATGACCAACGACCTCCGCCGGCTGGTGACTGCCTTGATTTCGTCCTAGACGATATCTGCCCTGATAGAACCGTCAAGATTGGGACGGTTGCTTTTGAACGGTTGGGAGCAGACCTGCTTCAACTTCTGAAGGAATTCAAAGACATCTTTGCCTTTGAAGTGG